CATGTTGTTGTTGAACCAAACCAAGGTTCCCAATACGACCATGCTCATGATTATTCCCTCCATTGCTATCTTGATCGAACTTAGCATTTCCCTGCATGAAATAAGCCTGAGAAAAATCACCACCACCACCACCACCAAATTGATCACCGCCGTTCGATGAGTTCCGGTTATTGGTATCTGAATTAATCTCGTGCGGAGGATTGTTCATGTCGTGGTCTGCATTGGCCGTCCACACCATGTCGGCAAGCTCGTCAGAACGCTCGCCGTTTGTTATGGCCAATAGAGGCTTCTGCGGCGTTGAGGAAGACGCGGCGCAAGAGTTGAAGTCCTCGAGTGCCGCAGTTGATGCCGTCGTCGGTGCGGAGTCCTTCGGAGAACGTTTTGCTAGATCGCCGGCGATGAGGGTTGAGCTCGAGCAAATTCTCTTCACGTCGTATCTGCTTATGTCGAAGTTGGTCACTGCGCTCGTGCCTCTGAATTTTATGGCTGCAATGTCGTAGGCCTCGGCTGCTTCCTCTTGTGTGCCTTTCATTTGATTGAAATTAACAAATCATTAAGTTCATGATATATGATAATTAATGTTGTTTAGATTAATAAACGAGGATGTTGAATAGCTAGTCAAACAAAAAATTATCCGTTTAAAAGTCAACCTCCGGTCTTCTAGCCAATAACTGGAGAACAACATCAACAAAGTTTGTCCTATATATGACTTGATGTGGCGAGTCAAAGAGTAAAAGAGCAGGAGAAGATTGAAAGTTGTATGGTTTCAAGGTTTCAGTTACTATTACTGAATTAAAAAAAAAAATTATATTGGCTCGTTGGATCCACACGATCTAGCTGGGCGAGAATATGTTATTTAAATTCAAGAAAAACTAGTAGCTAGGGAACCGATATGCCAACAGACGTTGATCAAATATTCTTGTCAAAAAAAAAAAAAAAAAAAAAAACATTACTGGTATTAATCACCACAATTAACGAAAGTAACCGGCCTATTTATACTATCTATTAGTGCGCGAACAATACTAGGATTATATATAAGGTTTTCACACCTAAACCTATTTGGTTCATAATCTGTTTTAATTTCTAACTATTACATTTGATCAGAATCACATCAAACCCAAAAACATGCAGAAGAGTCAATCTTTCATCAAGATTACACGATTAAAAACAAATAACTACCAATAATTCAATTTTTCAAGACCTACCCCAGAAATCTCCTAATCTTTATTCAAAGGAAAAGAAAAAGGGACTACATTCCATACTTTGATAACATAGAGTTATATATTTGGGGTTTTATTGTGTTTTAAAAGTTCATTTACATTTGTCGCATGGTGTTTATACAGAATAAATATCATTTATACTGATTGAATATTTGACTAGGACAAGAACCAAACAGAGAAGAGACTATCTTTTAGAACTAGTATTTATGAAAAGACTTTTTGGTTGAAAATTTTGAAGACTTACTAAACGTTCCAAGGTACAAATCCTTGTTTCCAGCAACTCTTCCAATTCTTGCTTGCCACCTTCCATGCTGATGGTGCCTGCAAAGACAAAATAAATTAAACCAGCTTAACACGTGTACGTCCTGAATATGGGTGACCTAATTTTACTAATTAAGCATGGTCAAGACACTGCCACATTTACCATTTTGTTTCTCCCTATTATTGCCTACGATATAATTTTGAAAAAAAAAAA